TCAGGAGCTTATAGTTCACCCTGAGTGAAGGGCAGGGACAGACTGGCCTGATTAGTTGTGCCTCGAAGACCCTCGGAGGCTCATGGGCATTGGGTGGACAGAGGCAGGGGAGCACGGATGGACCCGAGGAATATCGGGAATGCTAACGAGTGGAGGTAGGGTGAGGCCACCGGCAAAAGCGAGTCACTGGGGTTCCAGCTGGGGCGATCAGGGACTGGAGGTGCCATTTGCAGAGGCTCGCTGTGCCGGAACATGCCCCCCTAAGGCGGGGGCCGCCCAGCGAGGGGTCAGGGGGAGAACAAGCTACGTAGAGCAGTGAGACGATGTGCAAAGCCCCACGGGAGTCCCCAGTGGGGGCAGCTGGCGGAGCAGGGCGCTTGGGGAAGAGCCTCTTGAGAAAGTGACAACCAAGCGTCGCCCCAGGAGCTGGCGAGGGAAGAGGTGGGCAGAGCCGGCGACAGTCAGGGATGGCAGGGAACTGGCACCCCCAGCGGCCCCTGGGCACCGCCGCCGGCCGGGCCATGTCAGGGAAATGTCTCCCTTGCAAACATCCACACGAGTTCACTTCATCTCCAGCCAAGTGTGGGTTTGCCCGTGCCTGTTCCCGCCGGCGACCACCCCGCAACCCGCTGAGGGCCCCAGTCAAGTGTCTGGGATCTGGCCAGGGCCCCAGAAGTCTCTTAGGGAGCTTTCCGAGCAGGTCCTCCTACGGGGCGGGGCGGACCCCCAGCGCAGGGACCCCACACCTCCCCTTCCTGGGAGACTCAAAGCTGCCGGAAGTGGGGAGTAGCTTCATGGATTCTTTCCAAATGGGCCAAGCCCCTCACTCCAGACCCGCAGGCAGCTTGGCAGGAAGCCGCTGGGCGCCTCCTCCACGCCCTCAGGAATGTGGGGAGAGGCCACCTCTCCGGGGACTAGAGTGCTGCCCCACTTGTAATAAAAGTCAGCTTGCTCTGAGACTGGCTGCCACAGCGCCTCCCTGGCCATGTGCCCAGGCCGAGACTCCCTCAAGGGGGTGGGGGCCCCCCGCCCCGGGCGGGGCTGGGCTGCAAGGGCATGACCCGGAGTGCTGCCACGCCCCGCCAGAGCCGAACCCCCTTTCGGAAGACTGCCACGTGGAGAGACCACACGACCACGTGGAAGGGAGGCGCCCCCGCCCCGACACAGCCCCAGCTGGGTTCTGCACCAGCGTCCAGCATCTGCACGTGTCGCAAGACAGCGCCCACTTTCAGGCCTTCTTAAAAGATCCCACCCCGCCCACCCCAGCTGCTGCCGAGAAACAGGCACACGGCTTCCTCCAAGCCCTGCTCAAGCTGCAGTCACAAGCAAATAAAAGATTGTTGTTTTAAGGCCACTAAGTGGTGGGTGGCTGTGCCCCGCGATCACTCACTGCTTGGCAACCCCTACCTGCCGGCTGCGAGAAGCCACAGTGTCCACCTGCTGTCTCACGCCGGCCTCCTCCAGCGGCTTTGCAGCCCGGGGAGTCAAGGCTCAGGAGGAAGCACAGGGCGCGGGCCAGGACCCACAGCCAGTAAGAGCCTGGTGTCGTTTGCGCTCAGGACGGGCCAGAGGCCGCTCCAAAGGTGGTGGTGGCCAGCCTGGCGCTGCCCCGAGCTCTGAGTTCCCGGCCCGGAGCCTCCATCCAGAGGCCTCTTTGTCGGAGGCCGTCAGCCGCAGCCGGCCCCTGCCTTTGCCAACTCTGCTTATCTGGCAGAGAGGGAAACTGCTCTGAGTCAGTCCTCAGTACTTTTCCACTCCTACACCCCAGCCGGCTCCCTCACCCCCATGAGCACGCGAGTTTGTTGATGAAACAAGAGCTTTGTGCTGGGGTTCCCGATGAGTATGATGATCACCCCATCTGAAACATCTGTTGCCTGGAGCCCAACGTTGGGGCAGGACACGCTGGGGGGAGGGGGCGCTGGAGCTGGCCTCCCCCTTCCCCCAGGGCGGAGTGCCGGCCCTTCCCCTCCCCTTGGCTGCCGGCTTCCAGGCCAGCCTTGTTCAGAGCCCGCCCGGCTGGCCTGGACTCCTGCCCACTCTCTGTTCCCTAGAACCCACTTCTAGTTTTAGGGTTGCATCTTCTGTAACCTGGTTCAAACCACCTTAGACAAAGCTCTCCTTGTCATCTCAGGAAAAAACTGGAGCTGTCCGCAGCCACTGCAGCCTGAGTTCGATCCCCGCCAGGGAGTGGCCCACAGGGTGCAGCAGACCTCTCCTGTCACCCGCTGCTCCCCTCAGCAGTGGATTTCACTCCATCTGCCTGTTCTGCTCCCCACTCTGTCTCTGGTGAATCCTCTCACCCCCACTCACCTCTGGCCTGTACCCCAGTCCTTGTGTGCATAAATAAATCTTTTTTATTAATGAATTTGGAATCCTTGGGAGAACTTTTTTTTAAAGATTTATTTATGCATACAGAATTGGGGTACAGGCCAGAGGAGCAGTGAGAAGATTCACCAGAGACAGTGGGGACCAGAACAGGCAAATGTACTGAAACGCACTGCTGAGGGGAGCAGGGGGTGACAGGAGAGGTCTGCTGCACTCTGTGGGCCACTCTCTGACCAGCGATGGAACTTAGGCTGTAGTGGCTGTGGAGAGTTCCATAGTGCTGCACTTTGACCCAGTGCACCACCAGGGAGGGCCCAATATATAAATTAAAAAAAAAAAAGGATCCGAGGGTTACCCTTGGGGTATCAGTCCCATGACGATCACACCGATACTTCTGTGTCCCCAGCAGAGGCCAAGTCCTGAGCTGGAGAAAGGAGTTCACACTGACAGCTTTGAGCAGCCTTTTCTGCAGCTAAGTGCCCAGCAGGCAGGAGCTGTTCCCTGAAGCCCCACAGCACACCCACCCAGTAGGGACTATTACTCAGCACCCCCATTTTAGCGTTGAGAAAACTGGGACCTGGGGGCTCCGGCTTGTTGTGCAGAAATGCAGCTCTCCCCAGGCCCCTCTGGGGAAAGGCTTCCATCAAGATGGTGTAAAGCGTGAGAGGGTTTTAGTAGTGGAAGCGAGCGTCAGTAGCGGGATGATTCTTTATGTGAAACTCCACGTTTCAGGAAGGCTCTGGAAAAAGTTACATCTTGAGTGTCACCTGTCTCCTTTGAACTAGGTCAAAAGACCTCTGGCTGGGGACCAACGCAACAGTGACAAGAAACCACAAGCAATTACCTGACCATTATGGCCTTTTTGCCAGAAAAGAAACTCAGATAGTGCCTTTCTCATGCTGCTAGAGAATCGGTGGGGAAGGACGCACACCCCAGAAAGCGTGAGCTCCCCAACACCAGCCCACTCCCCCTGCACCCTCACTCCTCCAGCCCTTTTCCTCCTATGACCCTTCCCCCGCCCCCACAGCTTTATCTCCTCCTGGAGCCCTTATGTTTGTAACCAAGCCTGCAGGCTGGCAAAGCAGGGGCCTAGGGAGCTGGCAGCACCCCCCCTCCCATGAATCTTTGCGCTTTTTCTGGGCTCCCTGGTGTCCTCTCGCTGCTTCCTGCTGCCGTCCCCCACTGAGTGACGGCCTTTATATCACTGACCCTGAGGCTCAGGTGTGTACACGTACGCCGCCTGTACCCCTACCCAGGTGTCCATAGTCAGGCACGCACACCCCACGCCCAGGCTCTCAAGAGCCTCCAGCATTAGCACAACCAGCCTCAGGTGATCACCAGAGAGGCTAGTGGCATAGAAAGCCTGATTCACTAATCCTACATTACCTAAATCTATGTAGCCTTAACTGCAGTTATTTGATCTCAAATAAATGTACTTTGCCTTTTTAATTGCTTCCTGTACTTGTAGATGGATGACAAAAAACTGACCCCAATATAAGTGACAGCCCCCTATCGGCACCATCAAGGTACCCTGGGTTTCATTTTAAGCTGTTGCTCCAGGGTGAGGGCAAAGTCTGTAAGGGTGGGAGAGGCGGCTGTGCTCCCTTTCAAGTGCCAGAGGACTGCTCCAGCTGCCTCTCAGGACTCCTCCTTCGACCTAGAAACTCCTGAAGGTCAGGTTCATATTATGTCTAGGTGATTTCACCTGTCCCCAGCAGCAAGGTCAGAGCAGCTAAGAGTTAAGAGCACTGATCATCTAGGGAGTTAGATAACTGTGACTTCAGGCAAATTCTTGAACTTCTCTGATCCTGGGTGTTCTCAGACATAAACAGAACAAAGCCAGCATCTAATAATTCCTAGGACTGTTGCAGAGTCCGTGAGGTAAGGCTTATAAGACCTGGGTGGTACAGAGGCTTGGGAATAGTCACGTTAGTACTAAACACAGGAGAGAGAGAGAGAGAGAGCGATAACCAGGTCCAGCAGGGTGGGATTGCTCCAGAATGAAGAAGCGTCTTCATGAGAATCTGCAGGACTCCTTAATTGCTCAGAAGAAACTCCTGGGAACCAGCCGTGCCTGGAGGTGATCTCTGTTCTGACTGAGTCAAAGTCTTGCAGTGTCTGCGCCAAAGTTCTTCCCCTTCAGCATCACCTGGAGCTTTGACAAAGCATGCTCTCCGAGTGCTCTTCCCTCTAATTCTAGGTTTTGGGCGAAGTGAGGGGTGAGGTAAGTGTAACACCACAGGTAATTCTAAGCCAGTCTGAAAAACAGCCCTGAGCCAGGAATAGGCAGGCTTGCTGTAAAGGGACAGAGAGTAAAAAAGAGCCAAGAATTGTTTAATGACTGCAAATGCTCCCAACAGGCTATACCATAAAGCCCGGATGTGTACTAGGCCATACAGGTTTGTGTAATTATACTCTATGACTTTTATACAGCGATGAAATCATCCCACAGTGACTGTCTCAGCGCCTATCCGGTGTGTAAGCGCTGTGGACTGTACTTTGTGGACTGGATGTCTCTGTCACAGCCACCCAACCCTGAGCCTTCCCCTCCCTCTCTCCCCACTCTCAACTCCTGCTATTGTGGCATGACAACAGCCAAAGATGTCATGTACATGGAAGCTATGGCTGTCTTTCAATAAAACTTTATTTATAAATACAAGTGGCGGGCCAGATCTGATGGTGGGTCAGTGAGCCAGTTTGTGCTCTCTGGCAGCTCCTAGCTCTACCACATATAATCCATATATAGAGACACGAAAGGGTGTAAAAAAGGTGATATTTCTTTAATTTCAAAGTATGACCTGGAAGGAACCAGCAGAAGTGATCCAGGTTTGCTCTTTATACCCAACTGGAACAGATACAATATTGGCTCAGATTCCCAACCCCAGAGAACCACCAGACCCCAGTGGGGCAACCCCAGCGGAGTCCCCACTGCTCCCCTGAAGAGCCATCAGGTTCCACGGAGGCAGATGCCTGGGGAGTCAGGTCACAGTGAGAAGGGCTTTCCTTTCGCCACCCAACTGTGCTCGGGCTGGATTCTGCTCCAGCTCTCTGTAGCTGGCACTGCCTGTGCCCTCCAGGCGGGTGGGCAGCAGCCGCATCCCAGCCACCTGTGGGGGCATCTGCCCATGCTGGCAACACTGGGGCTGAGCAAGTCTAAACAAACCTGCCCACAAGGTCAGCACCTGCTGTGTGGCTGAGCCCCGGAGCCGGGCACCTTAGCCCTCGGGTCACGTTTGGCCAAGGCTCCGGCGGCCAAAGGACCAAGCTGAGCAGCAGCCTGGGAGGAAGGCGGGGGTCTCAGTCATCAATGCAGTTCTGCAAACGAAACAGACAAATGCCCTCTGGGTAGGCGCCCCACGAACAGGGAGAAAACATCCAGACGAACAGGGAGTAGCACCCACTGCAGCACACTGAGGTGGGCCTGCTCTTCCCCAGAGATCCAAGGTCCCACTTTTTGGCGTTCTGACTCTCCTGCCTCACATTCTGAGGGCCCATCGGGTCTCCAGATACCCCGCCGTCAGGGGGGGTCTCATCACACACAGGCGCTGTGTCCTGTGTCAAGGGGCTCCGGGGTGTGCTGGGCACTGAGCTTTGGAATTCGCAGAGTGGCCCAGAGAAGTTGTGGCGGCCGCCAGGAGGGTGCTCAGCCAGAATAAATGCAACTGGCTTGAATCGGCCTCTGGGCAGTGCCACCAGCTCTCTCCCGCTGCAGAAGGGTAAGAGGCTTCCAGAGGGCGGACTCCAAGGTGGACAGCAGCCTGTGGTTTGACCTGCGGGCAGCCCGGGAGATCAGGTGCCAGGCCAACCTCAGAGCACACACATGCCTGGGCCGGCTGGCAGGTGTATTGGTAGTCAGGGCCCTGCTTGGTGTATGTGGGGGTGGGGGAAAGCCTGGCAGTGACTAGCGTCCCTGAGAACTGAGGCGCAGCGAGGAGGGAGAAAGGGTTTCCTCCTTCGGTACGTCACTCTGCCTTCCGAGGGAGGGGAAGCTCTTACTGCACCACCACCATGACCTCACTCAAAAAGATGGCAGCCTGAGGGCCGGTGGGGAGCTGGCTCAGCAGGGAGCCCCAGTTGTGTGAAGGTCCCCACGGGAGAGCCTTCCTGACAGCTGTGCTAGACACAAGTCCAGCAAGCGCATGACGACACGTGCCACTCCCAGGCCTGACCCACAGCTAGCCAATCGTGGGGTTCTCGTGGGAGGATTTCACAGGAACACAACAAGCGCCTCTTCCCAGTCTCCTTCAATTCTCAGAAACAGGGGGCCCCTACATCTCTGGCAGAGGGAGCTGTCCAGTCACGGAACCCACTTACAGGACCATGGTGGCGTCGCCCGAGACAGCAGAAGGCGGGCCGAGCAGCCCTCACGGGATGACGCTATCTGGCTGCCCGTTCTGGGCCACCTGTCCCGGGTCGGAGGCAGCGGCCGGACTGGGCGTGTTGCTCTGCAGGTAGCGGCGGAAATCTTTGATCATGGGCCGGAGGACCTGGATGAGGACGCTCAGAGCTGCCTGGGTGCCCTCCATGGCCTGGGCCTGGCGCTCCTGGGCGCAGGCCTGCACCTCCTGGGAGCGGCGGATCATCTGCAGCAGGTCGTTCTGCTGCTCCAGGTGCTGGGCGATCTCCTTCACGTGCAGGTTGGTGACCTTCTGCTCCTGGATCAGCTTGGCCGAGTTGAGGGCGATGCGACTCTTGAGCGCCTGCGGCTTGACGGCGGCCTCGGCGTGCTGGGCCATCATCTCCACGGGCGCCTCCGCCGGCAGGGGTGGGGGGGGCTCTGCCGTGCAGTATTCCACCACCCCCTCCTCCAGCGTGTGATAGGTGGTCTCTGCGGGGACTGCGAGGAAGAGAGCAAGGCAGCACCAGTCACTGTCTAGAAGGAGTGACGCTCCCCGGGGTGGGGAGGCCCGAGTTGTTCTGGGAACCGGGCCTTTCCCGACTTTACAGGTCTTCACTATTCACGTGTCAGGCTAGACCCTAAGGGGCTCAGCATGCTAATCCCCTCAGTAATCAGTGGGCCAGGCCTCGATCTGGCAAAGGCAAGGAGGCGAATACTCAGACAGCAAGAAACTCAGAGCGCCTGCTATGTGCCAGGCACTGTGCTAAGCCCTTCCTGCTGGTCAGCTCTCCAAGTCCTTGTGATGGCTACGAGGCCCTCTCATCTCGTATTCAGAGACTCAGGAGCGTGGTGTGCCTGGCCTAAGGTCACATGCTCATTCAGCGGGTCCAGGAAGCACACCCAGGTCTCCCCATCACCAGAGTCCAATGTACTCATCACACCCCACCTGGCCGGCCTGTCTGCCCTCGCAGCGCCAGCAGCTGTGGGGTAGGGCCCACACAACTGTCTGCAGCCACCTTCGTCGCACCTTCTGGATGTCCCTATGGTCAAGCAGAGGAGGACGTGGGAGAAGGGCCGCTGCAGCAAAGTACCCAGTAGACGCCTCCCACCTCCTCCATCACCGGGTGAAAGGAACCCTAAAGCTCCCTTCTGTTCCATAGCTGATACAGACCAGCCTCCGCCTTCCCACCTCATGACCTTGAGAAAGTGGCACCTTTGGGCAGGACGCACTCACACATACATGAATCCCCCAAGCCCCACTGAGAATCACAGCTCACTGCCCATCACAAAGGAGCCATGAATGGCGTGGACACAGACTTTGCTTAAGCTAAAAAGCTGAACTCAAGCGAATTCTGTTGTCATATCTGAGAACCTTAGAAGGGAGTTTAGGGGGACTGTCTGACGCTCCACCTCAGTGCCAACATCACCTGTGTGCCCCCACCTCCAAGAAACCCCCTTCTTCTTCCGGGCCCTTAGGTTCTTCCAGCGGGTAGTATAGTTATTCACATGTCTTGTCTGTCCTATGGAGTGTAACTGGCCTATATGTTAGAGACCACAGTAAGCCCAACGCCAGGCACAGGGGCTGACACAGTGTTCACGTCAGATGAGTGAATGAATGAATGAATAGATTCACACCATGAACCGTGGGGTTCCTGAGCACAACCTGATGATATTCACGGTGCTGAAAACCTCCGCTGTCTCAGTCTAGGCTTGATATCCAACTCAGGAATTACTGTTCCCATCAGTCTAGTCATTCGACAACTATCTCTTGACTGCCTCCTACGTGTCAGGGCCTATGCTAAGTCCTGTGGGGATACAGACATGGCCAAGGGGCACACAGTTCAGTCATGGACATGAAATTGTGGCAAAACAGTTGAGAGCAGCCCAGCTCAGTAGAAGTCCAGACTGCGCGTTGAGGACGTCCCAAAGAGAGTAAGGTCACTTCTGTCTGGGGAGTTTCTGGAAGGCCTCATGGTCTTCTAAGACTCCCATCTGACCGTCAACCCTTGACAATCAACCTTCCCCAGGCTGCCCCAGCTCTTGCTGGCCCTTCCCATTTATGCACGCTGAACTGGGCAGGAGAGGTCACTCACTCTGTGTCAGGGTGACCGTGGCTGCAGCTGCAGTGGCCGTGGGTCCGAGGGCCACGGGATGGATCTCCGTGGTACTGGGCAGGCTGATGATGGTGGCCTCGCCCAGCAGGTTGCAGATGCGCTGTTGCATGGGGGTGAGCAGTACAGGGGCTACAGCTGGGCCGCCGGGGCCACTGCCACCACCTGTCCCAGGCCCACCAGCTCCATCCTCCTCCGTGGGCCCTGGCGCCTCGCCCCCCTCCACGGCTGCCCGGACCTGGGCAACCTTGCGACGGACCTCGGTTTTGAGGTCAGACCACTTCTTCTTGACCTCGGGCAGCTCCCTGCGGCAGGTGGCCACAGCGTTGACCCTTCTCAGGATGCTGTGCCAGGCTGCACTCTTGGCAGCCAGAGGGACGCCAGCGTTGAAGTGGTTCACCAGCAGGTGCTTCTTCAGTTCCAGCTCTTCCACGATGATCTCCACCTCTCGCTCGGAGAAGTTCATCTTCCTCTTTTTGGCTGGGACGGCCATAGCCTCTCCCCACCCCTCTTTTCAAAGAAATTATAATCTCCCTCAACCGTCCCAATTCCCTTGCTCTTCTTCCTCAGCCCCGCCCGTCACCCACCACCCCCTACAGGGGATAGGCCGGGCTTGACCAAAGCCAAGCACCAGGCCTTTGGTAACCCCCCTCGCTACGCAAAGTGCGTAGGGCCCAGTCCTGACCGGCTCGGCCGCCGCCAGCCAGCTGCGTAATGGCTTCCTGAATCTGCCTCTTCCGCCGGGGTGTGCGGAGATCCGCCCACTTCCCTTCTTCCCGCCTTCCAGCGCTTCTCCCGGGAGAGCCGCCACCCGGGTTGGTTGCGGCTCAGATATCGCGTCGCTCACTGGTTCCTTCGAGCTGTTCCTCAGCCGAGGGCCACGCCCCCTCACTGGAAGTGGCCGGCTCATTGGTCTAAAGATGTGGCCGTCGCTCCTGGGCGCCCAGCCCACCTGATCTTGTTTCCCCTTCCATTGGAACATCATTCTGTCGTTCAATCGCCAGCTTTACGCCTAGTACATCGCTAAATTCAGCTATTTTATTGGTGGTTTAGGGAGTTAGATTACCCACAGTCGGCTCCTGAGGAGACGTAACGCTGGTGCCCTTGAGCCGTCGGCCGATTAATTTCTAACTCCAACGCGGGCACAACTCCGCCTTGCAAGCGCCGTTCACAGTCGCCTCTCACACAAATCCCGTTTCCCTTCGGAAACTACGATCTCTCCGTACAGGATCGCTCCTCCCTCCAAAGCCTCCGTCTAAGCAGCGTTTCTCAATGGAAATTGGACACTGGACCTTCGGCCTGCCAATCATGTCGCTGGAGCCTATCGCGGCGTGGTTACCTCCCTCCGCCCCGTCTCAGCCAATCCCGCCTTCCTCAGTTTGAATCAGCCCCCGGCTGAGCCCGGATCGCCCCGCCCTCTCCATTGATCCGGGTAGTCTAGGGCAATGTGGGCAGTCCCCTAAGAGGCCCCGCCCCTCAAGGGACCATCCGGCCTGCGACTGGTCCACTGCAAGTCGGGGGGCGTGGCCGACGAGGAGGCGCGCATCGGGGCGGGGCTCCCGGAAACAGCCCCTCCCGCCGGTTTGCCGGCATCGCGGAGCCCGCGCTCGCGCTCTCAGGGT